TGGCTCCTTAACATGTTGAGACAGTGAGCTAGGGAAATGGAATTTTCACTTCTTTTTGTGGAAGGTTTTTATGACACAGACATAATTGAGGCCATTGATGGAGGCAAGAACCATGGGTTTCTCAGTGTCATTATTGTATTTGCATCTTTGTGGATTAATTTAAGTGAGTTTTGCCACTATGGGTGAGTCACAATAATTGTTATCAAGCTTGAACAGGAAAAAGAAAGAGCTCCATTTTCCAGGATTGTGAGGATAAAGTCCTCCTAAAATTACTTTGTGGTAAAAGGCTGATTGAGTCATTTTCACAGTCCTGGGCTATGATGGGGTTTATTACAGTTACCTTAGTGATCTGAAGGAATAAGGCAGGACAGAGGTGACACACAAGCCAGGACACAGTGTCTGCCCGCTGGCCCCGGCACTGTTTTGTGGGCTCTAGAGCTGTGCAGGTGGGTGTCCTGGGGCTGCCGCTCTAAAAGGGCAGGTGGCTGTGGGGGAGGGGAGGTGCACTGGGGCCAATCCTGAGTGCCCTTGTAAGTGGACCTGTCTTATGTGATCATTTCTAGCATTATGTTGTTCATTGTTTACTCTGCAACTTGACGACTGGACTGTCTTGATGACCCCTCCTGTGTCTGTATGGTATCGATGAATCTCTGGAATGAGGATGTCACAGTGGGATTTCGTGACTCAGTGTCCAACAGGGAGTTCTGGTGGGGGTACAGGGCTCTAGGCCAAGGGAACAGCCCCATCAGTGGCTGTGTGGGTGCCTTTGGCCATTAGCTGTAGTCTGTGGATTTGTTTAACCTTCCAAACAGGTCTCTAGGATGGGTATTGTTTTTTCTTTCCACCTTTTATTTTAGGTTCAGGAGGTACATGTGCAGGTTTGTTATATGGGTCAATTGCATGTCATAGGGGTTTGGTTTACAGATTATTTTATCATCCTGGTAGTAAGCATAGTGCCCAATCGGTAATTTTTTGATCCCCACCCTCCTCCCACCCTCCATCCTCAAGTAGGCCCCAGTGTCTGTTGTTCTCTTCTTTGTCCATGTGTACTCAGTGTTTAGCTCCCACTTACACGTGAGAACATATACATGAAACCTAAACATGGGCTGTTTAGTTTTCTGTTCCTGCATCAATTCACCCAGAATAATGATCTCTGACTCCATCCATGTTGCTGCAAAGGATATAACCGCATTCTTTTTTATGGCTGCATAGTATTCCATGTATAGGGTGGGTGTTATTATCCCAATTTTACAAATAAGGAAACCTCAGATCAGAGGCTTTGCCCCTTAGTAGTTGGATGCTCTTAGGAACGTAACTCATTTCCTGGTGCTGTAGAATGGAGGAGAGCAAGGGATCCAGCCTGCCTTGGAGGGCTGCTGCGGGGGGGGGGGGGATAGGAGATAAGGTAGGCACCATGCCTGTACGCCAGGAAGAACTCACTGAAAGTTTCTCCTCCTCCGCCTCTTCCTCGTCATTAATAACTCATCATGTTGTCATTGTCATACTTTTCATCCTGACAATTGACAGCTATTTCTACTCCAAGAACAGAATGTTGCTTAATGTGGCATCATTTTGAAACAGAGTCTTCAGGGGTTAAAAAAAGAAGTGAACCATCACAGAGCATCCTCAGTGACCCATATTGCTTCAGCTAGTGTGCAAGAAATATTTATTCTTTTTCTTTGTCTTCACCCTTATTTTTTTTCAACTTTTATGTTTAAGTTCAGGGGTACATGTGCAGGTTTGTTATATAGATACACTTGTGTCATGGAGGTTTATTGTACAGATTATTTCATTACTTAGGTATTAAGCCTAGTACATATTAGTTATTTTTTCTGATCCCCTCCCTCCTGTAAACCTTCAGTTTAGGCCCCAGTGTGTGTTGTTCCCCTCTATGTGTCCATGTGTTCTCATCATTTAGCTCCCACATATAAGTGAGAACAGGCAGTATTTGGTTTTCTGTTCGAAAAGGATTAGTTTGCTAATTATTTTAGTTTGTGTCTAACTAAAGTAGTGTTAGTTTGCTAAGGATAATGGCCGGCAGTTCCATCCATGTCCCTGCAAAGTACATGATCTAATTCTCTTTTATGGCTGCATAGTATTTCATGGTGTATATGTGCTACATTTTCTTTATCCACTTTATCATTGGTGGACATTTAGGTGGGTTCCATGCCTTTGCTATTCTGAATAGTGCAGCACTGAACATGTGCATGCATGTAGCTTTATAAGAGCCTGGTTTATACTCCTTTGTGTATATTCCCAGTAATGGGATTGCTGAGCCTAATGGTATTTCTGTCTTTAGGTCTTTGAGGAATCACTACACTATCTTCTACAATAGTTGAACTAATCTACACACCCACCAACAGTGTATAAGTGTTCCTTTTCTTCACAACCTCAGCAGCATATGTTACTTTTTGACTTTTTAATAACAGCCATTCTGACTGGTGTGAGATGGTATCTCATTGTTGTTTTGATTTGCCTTTCTCTAAAGACGTTGAGCTTTTTAAAATATGATTGTTGGCTGCATGTATGCCTCCTTTTGAGAAATGTCTGTTTAGGTCCTTTGCTCACTTTTTAATAGAGTTGTTTTTCTTATAAATTTGTTTAAGTTTCTTATAGATACTGGATGGTAGGTCTTTGTCAGATGCATAGTTTGCAAAAATTTTCACCTATTCTGTAGGTTGTCTGTTTACTCTGTTGATAGTTTCTTTTGCTGTGCAGAAGCTCTCTCATTTAATTAGATCCCATTTGTCAATTATTCCTTTTGTTGCAATTGCTTTTGGCATCTTCATCATGAAATATTTGTCCGTGCCTATGTCCTGATTGGTATTATCTAAGTTGTATTCCAGGGTTTTTATAGTTTTTGGTTTTACATTTATGTCTTTAATCCATCTTATGTTAATTTTTGTATACAGTATAAGGAAGGGATCCAGTTTTAATCTTCTGCATATGGCTAGCCAGTTATCTCAGCACCATTTATTGAATAGGGAATCCTTTCCCCATTACTTGCTTTTGTCAGGTTTTTCAAAGATAAGGCATGCGGTCTTATTTCTGGGCTATTTGGTTCCATTAGACTATGTGTCTGTTCTGATACCAGTGTCATGCTGTTTTGGTTACTATAGCCTTATAGTATAGTCTGAAGTCAGGTACTGTGATGTCTCCAGTTTTGTTTGTTTTGCTTGGGAGTGTCTTGCCTATTCAGTCTCTTTTTTAGTTTCATATGAATTTTAAAACAGTTTTTTCCTAGTTAGTTTCATATGAATTTTAAAACAGTTTTTTCCTAGTTCTGTAAAGAATCTTGATGGTAGCTTATTAGGAATGGCATTGAATCTATATATTGCTTTGGGCAGTATGACCTTTTTAACAATATTGATTCTCCTTATCCACGATCTTGGAATGTCTTCCATTTGTTTGTCATCTCTGATTGCTTGGAGCAGTGGTTTGTAGTTCTACTTGTAGAGATCTTTTACCTCTCTAGTTAGCTATATTCCTAGGTACTTAACTCTTTTTGTGGAAAATGTGAATGGGAGTTCATTCATGATTTGCCTTTCAGGATTCTTGGTGTAGAGGAATGCTGGTGGTTGTTTTTTTTTTTTTTTTTTTTGCACATTGGTTTTGTATCCTGAGACTTTGCTGACATGAGCTTAAGAAGCTTTTGGGCTGAGACTATGGGATTTTCTAGGTACATGAGCATGTCATCTGTAAACAGGAATAGTTTGATTTCCTTTCTTCCTATTCAGATGCCCTTTATTTCATTCTCTTGCCTGCTTGCCCTGGCCAGGAATTCTAATACTGTATCGAATAGGAATTCACCCTTATTTTTTTTTAAATCTCTGAACTGAAGGCAAGAAGTTATCTTTGGGTTATCATAGGTGAGGAAAAGAAATTTGCTCATGGGATTCCATGACAAAAGAGTAAATGATTGCCTGCTGTCTGGAGAACAGCCTTTTGTGTTATCCATCTGTATTAGTCGGTTCCCATGCTGTTAATAAAGACATACCTGAGACTGGATAATTTATAAAGGAAAGAGGTTTAATTGACTCACAGTTCCACATTGTTGGGGAGGCCTCACAGTCATGGCAGAAGGAAAAGGAGGCGCAAAGGCACATCTTACATGGCAACAGCAAGAGAGCATGTGCAGGGGAGTATTCTTTTATAATACAACTTTATCAAAACTCTCAGATCTCATGAGACTTATTCACTATCATGAGAACAGCACTAGAAAGACCTGCCCTGCCCCCATGATTCAGTTACCTCCCACCAGGTCCCTCCCACAACACATGAGAATTATTGGAGCTACAATTCACGATGAGATTTGGGTGGGGACATAGCCAAAACATATCACCATCCATCTATCCTTCCCTCTATTTCCTCTGCAAGAGTTTTGGAGCTTCTGCCACATGCTGGTCAAAGAGTACAGCAGAAGACCATCAAGAGGCAGTCTGTGCTTTCACAGAACTCACAGTCTGCTGAACAGAAGAAGTAGAGAGATTTAGTCATGTAATTTCAATTTATTTATTTTTTTAAAAAGCAAATTTCTAAGTCAGGGGCAAAGAGAAATGGCACAGGGCTGTGTTGGTTTCTCAGGTGATTACAGTGAGAGAAAATACAGTTTTCCTATTTTTAATGCCAAATTCTGGCTCAGTAGGGGGAAAGCGGGAAAATAATGCTAATAAAGTCTCTCTCTGCTTTCTCAAAGAGGATTATGTGATTTTTCTCTATGGGATATGTGATGTTGAAAGTTACAAATAAAAGGAAGAGTCTTTCAAGTGAGGAGCCATCAGTAGAGGCTCCTGGGAGGCTATGAGGGCTCAGGCAGGAGGGGAATCCGCAGCATCTGGAATCCCCAGGAGCTAAACGTTTTTGAGGTTGTAACTTTCTCCATCACCTCCTGGAAGATGCAGTACCTTGTGCCAGTATCTGCCAAGTGGTATGGGATGCCAGGAATTTTATTTCACATTGGTTTCTAATACTCCCCTCTCTCTCTCTTTCTTTTTTTATAGACCCTGCAATTGTCAATGGGGTTTATTGGTCTGAATCCCTAAACAAAGTTTTTGTAGATAACTTTGACCGTGACCCATCTCTTATATGGCAATACTTCGGAAGTGCAAAGGGCTTTTTTAGGCAGTATCCGGGTGAGTATCACTGCGTTGACAATTATGACTCAGATTAATGTTACCTGATCATGTGATATTTTTCTTTAGGGTTTCAGTTAAAACTTTTCTGCCTTCTCTTAGAAGAAAATGAAAGATTAAGTCCAAATCTATTGTCAGGGTGCAGGACAGGAATGGCAAGGTGGCATCCACATGGGCATGCTCACACATAGGGCATGATCACAGAACTCTCTGCGCCTGTACCTTCCTCAGTAGAATAATTCACAGAGCTGTCACCAAATGTGAAGAACTGTGGTGTGAACTGTACCTTATTTAGTACTTCTGAACAAGAGTTTAGCCTTATTACTACTGCTATTATTGCCATTATTATTACTGGGGAAAAAAGCAAGTCATACTTGGGCAGTTAAATTCTCACTAATGGCTAAGAAATAGAGAATGTGAACTTAGATTTGTCCACCCCAGTGCTGACTCCCCTTGGAGGAAGATGTTGAAATGGCCCAAGCATTGCTGACGGCAACAACCCCTCCACAGAGGGTGCCCCCAGCAGCCCCAGTGCACTCAGCACCCCCAGCAGTGTGTATCTCAGAGGCTGTCCATCATGCCTTTGGAACAGGTGTTCCTTCTGGAGCCTTCCCAGTCCTCTGCTTTGTGATGGGATTTTAATTCTGGTTTGGTTTGAATTTTAATTAAAAAGGGAAGTTTTAATTTTGCTTACAAGTTGTGAAAACAGGACTTGGGGCTGCACTTGTGCCAGCATCACAGCTGTAGAAATTAACAAGCTCAACCTAAAAGAAGGGGGAAAAACCCACCCTGAATAATCTTGGAGCAATTAAGTGAAGTCTTCTATGTTTTCATTAAGTAAGACTAGGCACCCGATGTCTTCCCACTTTGAGGCACAGAGACTGCTAGCCTCCGCCTTGCAGAGCTGTTTGCCCCGCGCACAGCATCTGTCCCCTAAGAACTGCCTGCCGGGTGTCTGCTTCGCCAGATTACACAACGTTTCCCAAGAGCCGTGTTCAGCATGGCACGCATGCTTCCTCCCAGAGCCCACAGAAATGTAAACAATAAGCATCCTATTAAAGATAACACCATAATAAACAGTGGACGATTAAAGTTCCAGTGCCACCAAATTGCAATCCGCCTTGATGCACTCAACAGAGCAAATCCGACGCAGCTATTGCTGAAATCAGAGCCTGTTGGAGAGGCTGCTCTGCTTGGGAAGCCACTGGGTGTCCAACCCTCTCACTATGTGGCATCGAGAATAGGGCAAGTCAGATAAGTAGAAACACAAATCACCTGTTGTCTCCACTGACAAGAAGTCCTTTAACTATGGTCACGAGGACATTTGAAAATAAACAGAATCCTCATAAAAGGCTTATGTAATAGGGGAGATTAATTTACATACAAGGTTTTTATCCATCAGAACAATTGGCTCAGCCATGTTTACAGTTCTTTAAAGATACTTTGGGCAGGATGTGGCCTGTGAAATGCCTACATCATTTCTATGTTAGTAAAGACATGGGCTGCAGTTCACCAAGGTGTTTCAGTGCCCTGATAAATGTCCTATGGCCACTCAGCTCTGTGCTTGGTTCTGAACACAGAGCATGCCTCTTGCCTCCTGGACAAAGAGTGATCGTGAGCATTTTGTGAGGATGTTTTTCTTTTCAGGATGCTTCTTTCCATTGTTAAAGTGGTGTGAAACAGTGGTAAGTGTGAGTGTTTTTAAGCAGAGGAGTCTTTCTTCAGTTTTACATAAGCATGTCCTGAGTGCTGGCTTTGTACCAAGCACTATCTGAGGCCCTGAGGATAAAATCACGAACTAGACAGAAAAGGTCTCTGTCTTCATCCAGCTCCCTCTTGTGGGAACATGCACTGATCATGGATTTTGGTTCCAAGGGACAGAAACACAGTTTCAACTAGCTCCAGCAAGAAGCACACTTACCGGTTCATGTAACTTGAAATCTAGGGAACATGCCATTTGGGCTACAGCTGGATTTCGGTGCTCAGCAGTGAGAGACTGAAGCAATGTTATTTGGAATCTGAATCCTTTCTTTTGGCTCTCATTTCTGCCTTCTTCCATTCTGACCTTGTCTCACTGGCAGGTGATCTCCTCATAATGGGGAACAGGGCTGGCAGGATTTCTCAGTGAGGATTCCAGGGGAGGAGAGAGCATCTGTCCCAGTAGCTTGGATGAAAGTCCACATATTAGCCTGTTCTGAGTTTCATGCCCACCACTGATGCCTGAAGAACTAGTGGGTAGGGTTAGCCATCCAAAACCCTGGGGACTAGTCAGGATAATTGTGGCTTTGCCTAGAGTGCATCCCCAAAAGAGGGGCATCAGTGACCACCATGGGGAGATAGACAGGCAAATAGATCATCATGGTACAGTGTGTTTCATGCTACACTGAGGAAATAGAAGGGGCTGGGTGATCCCTCAGAAGGATCACCAACTCCAACTCCTGGGGTGAGAGGAAAGAGTTCTGGGAAGGAGAACTTTGGTAAGCATTAGCCTGGAAGCCTATGTGTGATGATGATGTCCATTTCTGCATGGCTTCACACATAGGCCTTACCAGTTCAATTTATGCCCTAAGGGCATATGCTAACTCTCTCGTGCTGTTCAAAGGACTTTATGAGATGATGGAAATGTTCTATGTCCTATCTAATATCACTAATGTCACTGGTCACACGGGAGTACTGAGCACTTGAGGTGTACCTAGTGAGGCTGAGGAACTGAAATTTAAATGTTATTTAACTTTATTTAAAATTAAAATTAAATAGCCACACATGGTTAATTGCCACCATGTTGAATAACGTAGTGCTGTTGTAGTCTGATACCTAGTTTCCGAGGTACCAGCCTTATCTTTCAGGGCTTGCATTGCAAAAAGTTCTCACTGAACAGAAGATGTCGTTAGGCTCTATAGTTCTTACTTTATAAAGTGGGGCTCTACCCTGAAATCCTGAACCATCAGGCTTCCAATCCCTATCTCTTCTACCAGAATATTTGCCCCTTGGAGGACAGAGTCACTTGTTTTGTCCATTACTCTGTCACCAGCAGCAAGAATAACACATAGTGGGTGCTCACTGTGTGTTTGTTGAATGAATCGCCCATTAGGTCAGATTCCACCAGATCTATTGTCTTCCATTACACCAGTGGCAGCCACCCTCTCTCTTCAGATAGAATAGAGCTATTGCCTCTCTGGGGAGCAGAATAGAGCTATTTCCTCTTTGGGGAGCTGGTCCCCAGCTGCAGTCTGGTAGACACTTGATGATTTAGCAAGGAGCTGGCATAAATGCAGTACAGAGCCATAGTCCCTTTGTTTTCTCATTGATCCCCCTCCTCCAAGTCTTCATAGTACCTGTGCTTTCCACCCCACTGCCTACCATGTCCCAGACACCGGACATGCCCATCTGTTGGCTGTTTCCTCATGATGCCTTATGACCATCTCATCTAGAGAGTAGTGTTCTCCAGGCTCCCCATCACCCAGGAGGCAGAGGATCAAAGGGCTGCACAGTCATCCCTTTTCCTGGGAGCCTTGGCCAATTCATCTTTTTATAGCCCTCTGTGGGACCCATTTTCTACCTGGTTACTGGCTGAGGCCACCAGTGACTGACCTATTCTTCCTGTTCTGGCCAATCCTTAGCTTTATTCAAAATGGTATGGCTGGCTGACAGTACCTACCCATGTATATATGTAAAGAAAACTATGTCTATACATCACAGACAGGTCACTATCTAATCAAACAGGACATGAATTAGGTTCATGCATGATTATCAGAAGCTTCGGTCCCTTCCAGAACATAGCCGTACCCAGGGGAGTTTGTTCCTGTAGAAGTCTTGGTGATTACAAGGGGAAATGGCTGTCTTAGCCTCACACCATGATTTGGATGCCATAAGAAGGTGAAAACTGGTTCATAGCTACAGCCACGATGAGGGAGCTGGGCAGCTAAGTACAGAGCTCTCCATAAGTTTGGACTCATACGTGCTGTTTGCTAGTATTAAGTTCAGGTTCTGTGCACAGTGTTCCTTTTTGTTTCTTCCCTTCCATGCCTCCCTCACCAGGCTCGGGTTTAGCAATGGGGAGAGTGTGATTGATATTAGGGTTTTTTCCCTTGACAAGCTCAACAGGACTGCTCCAGGAACGATGATCATAGAACACCATAATTTATAATTTTCATAGCAACTATCTTGCTACATACTCATTTTTATGGTGTATAACCTCTCAAGAGATTGGCAGGAAAGATAGCATCTGGTTGAAAAAGGAGCTCTTTTTAGAGGAGTGCATAGACAGCTTCTCAGAAGACGTTTTAAAGCCAAGTTTCACTCCAGCTTGACTCATATTAGGAGCCAGCATGTATTTTTGACCAGATATTTTAGATTTAAAGTTATGCTGGAAGATCTGTATTTCAACTTTACATCATGGGCCATGTACTAAATATTTTTTGAGGAAGGAATTGGGCAGAACTTAAGGATAAACCAACATCTGCACCTCTTGATTTTCTTTCTTTCCTTTCCACATCTTTCTGGACGTCTTGCTTTCAAATAAGGAAGGCAAACGCCGTGTTTCAGTAGGACAGGCAGTATCTGTTCAGGTGGTAGTTTGTGGAGATGATTTGAATGTCATTGGCAATGCCAGGGATGTTGTGTGGAAATCATTGCACTTTAAAGAGCAGAAAAGCAATGGATGAAGATGCCGTTTGCTGAAGTGGAGAGAAAAAGAGAGCGTGAAGCAGAAATAAAACAACACAGCAAAAAGATGTTCAGATTTTTATTATGCTGTACATTGTAGTCCTTCGTGGTTCCATTACACAGTCTCATACCTCATTGCCATGTGAAATCATGTTGGGAACATGCAGCTTGACCTTCAGGCTTGTATAGGGCTCTGTTCTTTTGGCCCTACTATTTTTTTTTTTTTTCAGAAGCTAAAAGAGAACAGGAAGTCACACGTTGTCTAAAATGAAATTAATTTTCCTCCAATATTAGTTTGTAAATGTCTGTGGGAGAGAAACCATGGGATATAGGAATGTTGCACAGTGATTCAAATTCCCTCAAATTCGAGCAGAGATTTTGGCATTATTTTCCATTTCACATAGGGATTTATGCACATTCTGCAGACTTTGTCCTCTGAAAGCTGTGGAAAGCGGGCTTCCAATTACCAATGCTGACGATGAGGCCAGGAAAGCCCCCCGGAGCAGGGGGAGTGGCAGCTCCCCCCACCTCCAACCCTAGCGTTCCTCTTGTCTCAGGTGTCCCACCCCGTCCTACCTGAGTGGGATTCCAAAAGGCATATGGCACTTCCAGAAATGGTGTGGCTCGTGGGAGTGCTTCTTGATTAAGTGATAGTTCCTTGGATCTCAGAGATTTAAGATGAGCCAACTGTTATTCCTCTGAGATTTGAAGTTACCTGAATATTTTCAAAATACCTGTGTGGACCAACAATTATATACTAAAAAGTTACATCCTAGGGGAGGCAGTGCCACCTGGGACAGTGGTTTTCCAAAGTTTGTTGCCTAAAGCATTTTCTTGTGAGATTTTTGGAGGAGGAAGGACTCCATGGTCAAATTAGCTTGGTAAATGCTACCACTAGGGTCCCAGTCATAGAGTTTTAAGGTGCACTTGAGCAGGTTAAAGGCCCTTAGCTGTTCCTTCCATTATGTAGAAAACAGTTTTGCTTTGATCCACTTAACATGCATTAGCATCCTGTAGAACTCCTCACAAAACCCACTGTGGAAACGCCTTTGCAAGGAAGAGAACGATGGCTTGAGAATTGGGAGAGCCCGTCTTAGTCCTAACTGGACATCTCAGGAAAATCTGAAGATTTTGGCACAAATGTCAGGTTTGGGCAAAATGATACCCCCCTCCCTTGCCACAGACTCATTGAGCCCTAACTTTGGGTCAAAGTATGATGTTAACTGTTACCTGCAGGGCGGCTGTGCCTGGAACTGCCTTGAGCGTACTGTCTTCATCCCTGCCCAATGCATATACCTCATGTCCTGAGCACAGAGGGTCCAGACCTCACAGTTCCTGCTGCCTCCCAGGCTCCTCTCCTCTGGTGGGGATGTCCTCTACACACAGTCACCCCAACATCCCTTCAGCTCCTCAAACTGGACATGTCTTCTCAGTCTCAGGACCTTTGCACACATTGTCCTCTCTGCCTGGGGTGTTCTTCTCTAGTCTGTTACCACCCCCTGTTTAACAAATCCTACCCATAGATAATGGGTTCAGTAGTATCCTCCCAAAATTCATGTCCACCAGGAGCCAGAGAATGTGACCTTACTTATAGGGCCTTTGCAGATGTAGGTAGGTAAGTTGAGATGAGGTTATACTGGTTTAGGGTGGCCCTAAATCTAATATGTTGGGTGCCCTTATATGACGAAGAGAGGATACGCAGACACAGAGGGAAGGCGGCCATGGGAAGATGGAGGTAGAGATTAGAGTGACATAGCTGTCACTCAAGGAACACCAGGCAATGCCAGGAGCCACCAGAAGCTTGGAAGAGGCTAGGAAAGGGTCTCCCTTAGAACTTTTAGATGGAGCTTGGCTCTGCTGACACCTCGAGTTTGAACTTCTAGCCTCCAAAGCTATGAGAGAATAATTTCTATTCAGCCACCTAGTTTGTAGTTCACTTGGTCCTTCATACCCATGGATTTTGCATCTATGGATTCAACCTACCATGAATAGAAAATATTCAAGAAAAAAATTACAGCAATAAAAAATAATACAAACAAAAGCAATACAGTATAACAACTTTTTGTGCATGCTAGGTATTATAAGAAATCGAGAGATGATTTAAAGTATATGGGGAGATGCACATAGGTTATATGCATATATTATACCACTTTATATCAGGGACATGAGCATCTACAGACTGAGGGTGGGGGTTCTGGAACTAATCCCCCATGAGCACCAAGGGACCAAGGTCCTTTGTTATGGCAGCTGTAGCACAGCAATGCATCATCATTTCCGCTCCCAGATCAAAGATGTCTTCCTCATGTTAGGTATTAGGGTCGCCTTTATCTACTAACAAGCATCAGGTGTTTCTCCTCTATGACATCTCTGGTACCTGCGATTTCTTATCCAGTGTCTGCTTCTACTAGCTGTGAGGCTTCCGGAGGGCAGGCAGGAGCCAAGACCCTCTTTCACTGTCACTGCTGTGTGTCCACTGACTGGCAGAGAGCTTGCCAGTTGGATGAAAATTTGATTAGTACACAGGATGCTCTGACGTTGTCCCATTTGATCCTCTTTCATACTGGAATTGTATCCTTTGTTGGTTTTCCCAGCAGACTAATTTTATGTCAGCTTTTCAAAAAGCACCAAGTAGCTGGGCATGGTGGCTCATGCCTGTAATTTTAGCACTTTGAAAGGCTGAGGTGGGCAGATCACTTGAGCCCAAAAGTTCGAGACCAGCCTGGACAACATGATGAGACCCTGTCTCTACTAAAAATAATAATAATAATAAATAGCTGGGTGTGATGGTGGGTGCCTGTAATCCCAGCTACTTGGGAGGTGAGGCAGGAGAATCGCTTGAACCTGGGAGGCAGAGTGTGCCATGAGCCGAGATCACACCACTGCACGCCAGCTGACAGAGTGAGACTCCGTCTTGGGTGGGGGGTGGGGGGGAAGCACCAAGCTTCAGAATGCCTAGAATGAGAAACAAGCCTATATACAAGGAAATGGTTTTAGCCTAAAAGGAAATCATTGAGTGTAATTAATTGGTCCCCACCCAGGCCCTGACCTAAATGTTGGGGCAGTAAAAGATAATAACATGTTTTCTGCTCCCCGTGGAGCATACAGTGATGGGGCTGTAATTGGGAAGGATGCCAGAGCCAGAAAACGTTGGTGGACGATCAGCAGTACATGCAGGGATAGCCGTGATCTAAAATCACTCACCACAGTTTGTTTCAAGAAACATCCACTGAACACCTCCCATGGGTCAACACATTTAAAAAACAGAAGATAAAAGAATCCTCTTTATATCACACTCAAACCGCTTATTTGTGGAATTATAAATTAGAGCATTGCCTAGCCTTGCCAGGGATATAACTTCACTGTTTATCAAGACTGTGCCATCCTTATGGTACCTGATTTATGCAAAGCAGTGTGTCAGATTATTTTAAATTAATTGCGTTCTTGTCCCTTAGTATACAATGCCATGTTAGTTATATTTTATCTTTATTACCTAATGTCCTCCAATTTGGCAGTAGTTTCTTACACTTCTGTTTTCTGATTTCTTGTGGAGACTGTTTTTGAATTAGACACATGTGCAGTGGGAAATATAGGTACAAGAAGGACAGAACCCAATATCTTTTTGAATTACAGACTACTGTCTCAAGGTTATCTGTGTGATAATTTGGGGATGTTATCTTCAGCGGATGCCTATGATTAGCCCAGTGTGGTCCTTTAGAAAGCTAGCCATTGTTAATCGGAAAGAAGAATCTCAATACCACCAGCTGAGTCAGGATTCTCTCCCGTGAAAATGATTTTTCTGTTTTTATTTTCTTAGCTCCAAAGTCTCTGTTGCAAATCCTCCATCCCTGAGCAGGACTGATGGTTGAAAAGAGTGATTTTCTGTCTTATTTTTAAGCAGCCAATGCCTTTCTTTTCAAATGATATTTTACTGTTAAAAACTAAGTTGGATATATCCTGACTAGGCTGCAAACCACAAGACTGAGGATGTTGGATCTGATTTTACACATGGGGATAACTCCCCAGGCTTCAGGAGCTGAAATTCAAACTTTATTATGCAGCATAATGAAAGCCGTTTTATTTCATTTCAATGTGGAAAGCCAGGCCAAAATTTCTGATTTTAAAAACAGGAGTGAGGAGGGAAGAAACCTGTGTATATCCTTAAATGGAAACATTGTATCTATGTTTTCAACCCTCCTGCTATAGACATTACATCACCTGGTCCAGGGATGGGGCCAGACTCTGCCCAGAGATCTGTGGATGATCCCACAGCTTGCTGGACAGGAAAAATAACCTTGGCTACCTTTATCCTTAGCCAAGCGAAGGAGCTAGAGTCACATGCTCCCTTGATGGACGGCACAGTCCTAAAAACGTCTCCACTCTCTGCAGGCCTTTGGAGCAGCTGAGCTAAGGCTGTGTTTGCTAATCGGGTTATGACCCAAGAGCTCCTGCCCGAGCTTGGCGATGGAGCATATGATGAGCTCTGGGGTTGGTCTTTGCATGTGATTTTTCACCCTGTCCATTCAATCAGCAACGTAAAGCAGCCTTGAAATGCTATGAATAAATATTTGAAGTTTCTGGGTTTCTCATAACCCCATTTTTCTTCTAGGGATTAAATGGGAACCAGATGAGAATGGAGTCATTGCCTTTGACTGCAGGAACCGAAAATGGTAGGCAGTGGTCAGACCTCTTCGTTATTTCTCAAAGAGATATCTCGAAGAGAAGTCAGGATTAATTTTTACTTAATTTTTCCCTCGACCTAGGTACATCCAGGCAGCAACTTCTCCGAAAGACGTGGTCATTTTAGTTGATGTCAGTGGCAGCATGAAAGGACTCCGTCTGACTATCGCAAAGCAAACAGTCTCATCCATTTTGGATACACTGGGGGATGATGACTTCTTCAACATAATTGCTGTGAGTGCAGCTGTTTTGTGCCTTCTTTGCACTTTGGGTTCATTTGATCTTTTGGTAGTGACTGCTTAACATTGCTATTGCTGTTAGATCCAGAGCATCTAGATTCCAGAACATGAGAGCTGGTTAGTTTTATGAGAGTTTATACAGTCATGGACAGTGGAAGGGCTTTTGGGAAATGCTACTGAACATTGCCTCTCTTAACCTACCACGCAGCCACATTATCTGAGAGAATGGCACACCGGATGTGGTTTTCCTGGAGAGCTGACATTTTCAGCTTCTTAGAAAGTAGCCTTAGCGAGATTTTCACCAAGCCACTAGAATTTCTCACCTGGAAATTAACTTCCAGCTAGGTTAGCCTGATGATAATGATGATGATAATAATTAATAATAATAGTGATGATGATGGCAACGAAGCAGCTAAAATATGGAGAGCAGTGTATGGCTCACTGACCATTTTATTTCAGCTTCTGGGGAAAATGCAGCATTTATTAAATGCCTGCTTTTAATAAATGCCTTACTCTTCATATTTTTATTATATTTGTTTTTTACAGCAATTCTAGGAGGTAGGGGGTGGTTTGGGCATATTCTCAAATGGAGGTGCTGAAATTGAAAGAGTGTCAGCAACTCGCCCAGGCCACAAGACTGGCAAGTTGGAGATTTGGGAACCAAGCCCGAGGCTGGGCAGTCACGTAGCCTGGAAAAGGCCACTTATTCAGGCCTCTATTTGGTCAATGCAAAGAGTCAAACTCTGCAAAATATTTGGAGAGATTTATTCTGAGCCAAATATGAGTGACCACGCAGCCCTCAGGAGGTCCTGAGAACATGTGCCCAAGGTGGTTGGGGTACGGCTTGGTTTTATACATTTTAGGGAGGCATGAGACTTCTGTCAAATACATTTAAGAAATACATTGGTTTGATCCAGAAAGGCAGGACAATTCCAAGCAGGGGCTCCCAGCTTATAGGAAGATTTTAAAATTTTCTAGTTGACAGTTGATTTTCTCTGAAGACCTGGGGTGAATAGAAAGGAATGTCTGGGTTAAGATAAAGGATGGTGGAGGCCCGAGTTCTCATTTGCAGAGGAAGCCTTCAAGTCGTAGGCTTCAGAGAGAATAGTTTGTAAAATGTTTGTTTGTTAGTTTGTTTTTTTATCAGACTTAAAGTCTGTGTTGATGTTGATACCAGAGGGGTATAGTGAGGCATGTTCCATCCCCATTCCCAGCTCGGCCTGAAGCAATCTCTCAGGTTAAATTTTAAAAGAGCCCTGGCTGAGGAGGAAGTGGATTCAGATGGTGGGGGACCTTAGAATTTTATATTTAGTTTACAGTCTCCAGTTCTTTTTCTTCTTCCCACTGATTATTTGGATGATTTTCATCATGCCCCTTATGTTCCTCTCACTCTTTTTCCAAAGGCTCATCTTAGTGAGCCTGATTTGAGTCCTTGAGCACTTAACCAAGTATGTGTGTGTGGTGGACACTTGTTCTTTTGCATGAAAATAACACACATCACATCTATTTGGGACTTGAAGTGGTTGCTATGGGCAGTGGAGACAGCATGGTGACGGGGGCAAAGCCTGGGTTTTGGAGTTGGGCTGTTTTGAATCCTCTTCTGCCACATACGCTGTGTGTCTTGGGGCTGATTACTTTAGTCTGGGCATGAGCCCCCTCAACTGTGAAGAGTGTTGCTCACTTTGCCCACAGGGTTGCTTCTGGGATCATCTGTGTTGATCACCAGAGTCAAGCTGGTGCCCAGCCGGGCTCCTTAGCCAGTGGTGGGACACAAAAGAAGAGGGTGCTCCAAGAATGCTGTTGCTATCTGCTTGGGTCTGCTTGGCTCCCCTAGACCCCCGAGCAGAGTATGTTGTCATGGAGCCTTATGCCTGGGCTGCCTTCTGCATGGGCATGACACTCACTTGTGTTTTCCAGGCAGAGGGTCTGGGCATCTAAATGGCATGAAGATGGTCAAGGGGATTGCCTGGACTAGTGTCCTGCCTACAGGCGTCTTCTGATCAGACTGTCAGAACAAAAGGGCACAACCACAGGGCAGCATGACTTGTAGCTTCCGATTTTAAGAACTCCGAAAGAGGAAAGAGAAAAGAAAGAGAATACTAAATTCCCTGGAAGCAGAAGTTAGCCTTGTTCATTCATGGATGTGTCCTCAGCACCTAGGCAGTGCTTGGCAAATAGCAGGAGTTTAAATATTTGTTGAATGAATAATAACCACAACTGCCATCTGCGCTTGCTGTGTGCAAGTCAGCTGCTAAGTGTCCCGTGCGGATTATCTCATGGAATCCTCACCCCAGCTGTGTGTCATGTGGCACGAAGACAGAGGTGTGAAGTCGCAGAAGTGACTGTCTTGAGTTACACGGCCAGACAAAGCAGCACAGTAAAGATTCAGACATTGTCTGGCTTCACCTTGCACCGTTTCCTGAGCAGAAGTGAAAAAGATGTAGTTGATCCACTCAGCCATCATGTCATGGAATTATACGGCCTGGAAACATAGTTCTTTAGAAGGAGACTTTGAGATAGTTAAAACTTTGGGTTTTCTAATCAAGAAAGTTACTCTAGTTGCCAGTCTAGCGGTGAGAATGCAAATGTGGCTTGATCCCCACACATCCTGAAGCATTTACAGATAAGAAGCAGCTAATTTGAGACTATCTTTCTTATTAATCTTTAATTACTCATTACAGAAGTATCAGAAATTCACATAATAAGAAGAGCTAACTAATTACATCCTGAATCCTTTATCAGTCAAGATTTATTGTTCTGTTAACAAAACCAATCGATTGAAATAATCTATGTAAGTTCATTAAGATATACAAACAGTGTCAACTCAGTAAAGAAGAGAGGGTGATTAAGATAATTAAAAGTAGACATGCCAGTTATTATAGAACAGTTAAGAAAAAGAAATTTCTTTAATCCAAATATCCATTTATATAAAGAAACCCATTAAAGATCCCTGTAACCCTCACTGTACATCTGTTTGTGAGTTTTCAACGTAAATAATCAGCTTCAACGCTATTTACATAATTATTTCAACAACTAAAAAGACACTCTGAACTTCTTTATTTGAATCCTTTATGGTAAAATCATGAACTTTGTTTCTCTAATGGGTAAGAGAATGGATCAGATATGTTAGTGAATTTATATTAGAAGGCCAAGGCCATAAAAGAACCATTAATTAACAGTGATGTTTATAGGTTGATTGCTTTTTAATGTAGGCAACATATGTAAAAATTTTAAACAATTCAGTAATGTTCTCATTTCTCTTTCATTTGGCACATATTCTAAATGTTTCTGTGTATATGAACACACAGTCTTTTCACAAAAAAAGATACATATTTTGTAGAATATTCAGCAACTCTTATTGCAATCAAATGTATTTGAATAACAGAGCATTCCATCACATTTTTTACTCACAAGTGCTACAGTGAGTGCAGTGCACTGAATATAATGCATATATTTCTGCAAGATTGGGTGTGCTTCTATTGAAATAAACCCAGAAGTGAAATTGCTGCACCAAAAGGTATGCACACAGGCCCCTACCAGAATGTCTATCAAGCAGGGTATAATGTTTACACGCTTACCAACAGTTTGAGGGTTCTAAATAATAGGAGATTCATAGCTGGCAGATTTTCATTTGCATTCCCTTGAATTGTCTCTCCCAATCCTAAGCATCTTCTATGAATTTTGCCTTGTTGAATTCTTTTTTTTTTCGTCCATCACCTCCTCCTGTTTCCGCCCTGACACAATTGCTCTAGTAATATGGTGTAGGTTTTCCTTCAGTCTGTTTAAAATGGTCACTTGTCTCCTGACTAGAGGGTGACCCCACTGCAGGTTCTTAAAGTGCAGGGGAATGGGATATTTGAAACACCATCCAGAATGCCCTGCAAATCTGTGAGAGTGCATTGTTATCGTCGGCTGGATTCCATTTATGAAAGAGGACATTATCATTTCACCCTCCATTACACTGTCAGCCTTCCTTTGCTTGCTGGGTAGATGTTTGCAGAGATAGTTCAGTGTTTTAGTGGAAAAGTAGAGAATACAGTATTTTCAGTGTTGGAAGCCCTCGTGTACTGTAGGTTTTTGTTTATGCAAATCTAATTCATCATTGCCACTTGATTTTCAGTGCCATCACGGAGAAAGGAGGAAAGAGACTTAAATAGTGGGAAAGACTTCCCTTGGCCACTTAAGTTCATCTTTCGGTTTTGCATGTTTTATTAAGTTCATTGTGAACTTCATCTTTTATGTTATATGAAAAGTTTCTGATCTTGATCATCCAGAGTATAAGCATAAAAAGACAATGTTAAAAACTGTTTTAGCTTTTATGGCCAAGGTATTGCAAGATCTATCTAAAATGGACAAACTAACTGATTGAATTATGAAAGAAGAGTTGAAATATGAGAATAATTTTGTGCAGTTGAAGTTAAAATTTTAAGGTGCATGAAGAGCGATGTCTCTGACAAGAGAAAAGGCATATTTTTCTGATTCACTTTGAAGTCTAACTTCAAGCCATGCATTACATTAACAATATTATCATAAAAATGAGGGTGCTAATTCTGTCCGATGCTGAAATTTGAAAAATGACTTTACGGAAGCCTAAGCCATGCATTAAACGAACACAGTATTAACTGGGCTGACATTGTTAAGTCAATTTAAATGCCTCCTGCAGCCCGTATTTGTGCAGACTTGAATTGAGAAGAGCATCATTTGTTAGTTCAACCAAGAACTTTCTGATGCCCTGGTTTTAATTTGCAGATTTTCTTTAGAACTGTTTCTCCAATGCTTTGCCTGCTGTGGATTGGCTTTTTAAGGTAATCGATTCCGTATTAAAAGTATGAGGATAGCATTTTCTTTCAGTGCTCATTTGTTCTGTACTACTAATTGTGTCCAGTTGTGTTTCAAATTACATAAGATGCTTTTGTAATGCAAAAGATCCCTGGGATGGCTTGTGTTGGTGAAAATATTGCGGGTTCATCTGCTTTATTACATAATCCCTACACA